AAAAATCACATTGCAGAACAACATGTATTATGTAGTTCCATTTAAATTAAATTTTATATGTGTAAATTTATCAATATATATACATTTGTGTGTAGATATACAAGAATGAAGAATGGAAGGATTCTTGCATAACTATTAATACTAGTTACCTCTGGGGTGAGGAGTGGAATTAGGGGTTAGGATGCATGGAAGTTTTCACATTTTACTCTATATACTAACATATGCCTTAAATAATTTGCATGGAGAATATATTCCTGCAGTATTTATGTACCTTTTTTTTGAGGCAAAGTGTCACTTTGTTGCCCATGCTCGAGTGCCATGGCATCAGCCTAGCTCACAGCAGCCTCAAACTCCTGGGCTCAAGCGATCCTTCTGCCTCAGCCTCTCGAGTAGCTGGGACTACAGGCCTGCGCCACCGTGCCCAGCTAAAAAAAAATATATATATATATTACATACACACACATATACACACACACACACACACACACACACATATATATTATTCTTTTGGTTGTCCAGCTAATTTCTTTCTATTTTTTAGTAGAGATAGCATCTCATTCTTGCTCAGGCTGGTCTCGAACTCCTGACCTTGAGCGATCCTCTCACCTCGGCCTCCCAAAGTGCTAGGATTACAGGTGTGAGCCACTGCGCCCAGTCTATTATGTAGTTCTAAAAATACAGAAAAGGAGAGGTATTTAAAACTAAGAATTAATGAGTGAATGCAAGCTGAGAATGAGTTTTTTGCATGAGAGGGTGAGGCATCTAATCTAATTAGGGTCTAGATAGATGCTTCCAGGATAGAAAGGGGAATTAAAGTTTACTGATAGAAAAATTGGACTAAAAGTGAAGTTTGGATCTAGAAAGAAAAGTTTGGGTTTCACAGGTTTCACGTTGTAGCTTTCTTATTACTTAGGTTCATTAAGGTGCTAGAAATGGCCATAAAATGTCAACAACACTGCTGTGATATGCTATTTGACCTTGGGTTAGGGGATTTGGTAAGAACCAAAGTGGGAAAAATTTCACATCAAACCACCTAAAATTCTCCTCCATTTCATCAAGTTTTTTTGAGATTGACTTTGATTTGCTCATACTTTGATTGCTAGACTTATCAGATGAGATCAGAAAAGCAGGATTAATTTCTTCTTAAGCGAACTACTAGCATCTTTATAAGGAAAGAATTGTTCAAGTCCACTGTATTTACAAGAGGCCAGTTGGGCCTTAGAGGGTATTTGAATTTTATGGATTTCTTTTTATTATAGAACCACCGCAAGGAGAAACTATATCAATCTAAAAATTTAAAAGAACTTTTGAGATTGTCTTCTTTCCAGCAGCTTCCCACTTCTCTCAGATAAAATCCTACTTCCTCACCCTGATCCGAAGGTCCTTTGTGGTCTCCTCCCACAAGGTAGGACCCCTTGGCCCTTTGCTGTCCCTCCTTTCCTGATTCTGTCACAAAGGCAAACTGTCCCAGTGCTGTTTCATGGCTGAGCAAGGCTGCTGGACACTCCCATGGGCGTTTGCTCCTGGTGACACTGTCATGCATTTGACAAAGGGGGCTGTTCCTCTCTTTGCTGATCCTCCCTCCCTTCCTTTTTTCTTAATCCCTATGGAATAGCAGAGGCCAGGCTTTCACTTTTCTTAAAACTACACTAAGGGCGGGGCCATTTGGGAAAGGAAGTTTTACCCAGGGCAGGGAAATATAACTGCCACTAGCAGAGGCTATTTTGAGAGTCCATAGACCACAGGCCTCCTTGGGAATCCATTATAGTGCTCTTGGCTTCATCCCTGGCCTGGAGCCATTGGTGGGATCAGTTTACTTCCTAGTGAGACATCTGTATATTTACCTTCCCTCAAGTTCAATGCAATTGCTGATAAGTTTGGAGAGAGGATAAAATTCATTATAATCCATGTCCCACCTTAATTCCCTTGTGCCTCAGTTTTCTTTTCTATAAAATGTGAAGAATAATAACAGCTATTATAGGATTATTGTGAATATTAAATGAGTTAATATATGTAAAGCTTTTAGAGCCGTATCCGGCACTTAATAAGTTCTGGATAACCCTAACCTGCCTTGTATTATTGAATGTAATGCCACAGTGGCATTACCTTACACTTTTGCAGTTGGGCCTTTTGGCTAGGGATTTATATTTTTCCTCTAACAAATTCTATCTGTTGGCTCAGGATCATTTTTCTAAACTGGTAGAACTTTTTGGGATTAGGTTCTATCATCCAGCACAGAGGTTATTATCTTTGATTTACTATGGGATACCACCAGAGTTCTCCCTCATTGTGAATGTTGATTTTGATTTATTTAACAAACTGGTGAAGAACCTACTAGGCGCTATGTTCCTGAATGCATATGAGTATGTGTATTTGTGTGCACATGAGTGTTTAAGACAGGGATATAACCCTCTCATCTCAAAGGTGCATATAGTTTTTACTAAAGGACATATATTGAGTATAAGTAATCTAAACATTTCAACAAGAGTTGGAGATGAGGCAAGGTAAAGAGAGGATACTGGCTGTGGTGAGAGTTTGAAAGAATAAGAATCTAGCCTGGAAGGCCCTTGAAAGGACTGTAGAATGATCTAGCTTGGTACAGTTTTTATTATAAAAACTAATCTTGCAGAAATGCATGCTTGATAGAAAGGTTAGTTTTTATCTTACTGTTTAAAATTTTAAAATATTTAAATATATCATACCTTAAGGGCATGACCAGAGTGAGGCTAGATTTGTTTAGCAAAACAGGGCAGCCTGTGAAGCTTGAAAAAAATCAAACATAGGACAAATATCAAGAAGGCCTATTTTTTGGAGTGAGTGGGAAACGGAGTTGATCTAGACAAAATACATTTGGTAGCTTTAGAACGATTTCAAATTTATTTGTAGTAAGGATCTAGTTTAAGAATGCCAGATTTATGGCTGAATAACCACAAAAGATAGCCTTCTAAGTTAATCGATTTTAAAGCTTTTAGGGAAGTTAGAGTACATAATGGAAGAAGGAAGTACTCATGATACTCAGTGGTGACGTGGAAGAGAACAAAGCGTTTTTGGTAGCCAACAGCCCACATAAATCAACATATACAGGAAGGACCAAGGCCTTGGACCTTCCTTTCCTACCCTAGACTGGAAGCATTTCAGGAGAGGACTGAGCAGGAGATGTAGCCTATTGTGACTGTGGCTCTACTACACCCAGGGCTGCAGTGGATCTAGATAAAGCAGAGGAATGTTTCCTTTTATAACTCACAATGGATATGGCTGTACAACAAACCATTTCATAATGTTCTCTTTCCTGCAAGATGGAGTTGGAACCTTTGATCTCTCATTGACTGTTGGAACTTATGATCTCATTGACTCTCTAGAATCTTAAGAATCCACCAAGGATGACAGTCATTCCTACTCTTCCTAAACATCATGTGACCACTGTCAGAATTAGAACTGGTCTGCTTAAGGGTCTGAGAGTTTGTCAACTCTTAGGAACTTACGCTGATAAGGAAGCTGGGCTTAAGTATAAAGAAAAGAGGCTGCAAGGAACCACCATTCATGCATTCAGCCAACATGTGGGGCTCCCTCCTGTATTCCAGGCACTGGACACTGCACCGGGAATGCAAAACAAAATGAGAACTGGTCGGCTGGGGGAGCCTTCTAGGTGGAGAAAAGATGAACGAGAAAAGTGCCTGTGGGAGGACGATCTTAGAGCTTAAGGCAATATAGAGGTGGGGCAGCCACGTCAGCCTGAGGTGGTGTCCTTAGGCAGAACAGAAAGTGAGAATCAGAGCAGTATCTCATTTCTAAACAAGACTACCGGATAGTAGGAGCTTTCTCTTGACTGGCAAAGAGGGGGGTGGCTTTGGAAACCAAACCAAACAGATACTCATCTTTTAGGAAGACTCTGGAACGTGCCTGTTAATGCTGCTAATTTTCTATGAACAGAAATACCTAAGAGGGAAGAACGGGTGAGTCTTTGGAAGTGGAGGAAGTCGCTCAAAAGGGGCTGTGTTTCTTAAACGGCGCCCCAGAGGGGCTGAACTACTTCGGTCTGGAGGAAAAAGACTCAGGAACTAAGGAAAGTGGAGGGTGCATGTCTAGAATAATTTCAAGGCTTTTCCCATCTTGTCTGATGTGGCAACAAGGCAAGATTTGTTCGTTTTATTTATTTATTTTTTTTAATTTTTAAAGATTTTTCTTTTCCCCCCTTTTCCCCTCCCAGCCACTCCGGTTTGGGTTTTCCATATGACTCATAAATCCTCTCAAAAGTGGAGTCGAATTCATAAAAGTGGTGGAAGGGGGTGGGGGCGGGAAGGCTGGGAGCCCCGGGGAGTCTTCACTACCTACATTGCCACTCAGCTCGCGGCGCGAGTGGAGGTCGGCGCTGGGGAGATCCGGCTTGCACCCGGGATGGCGGATACTATTAAAGCCCCGGCGGCCCACGGCCGGGCCGGGTGACCAGGGGCGGGCGCGGGAGGGTCTGCGGGGGGCGGGCGGGCGGGCGGCGCTGCAGCAGCCTCGGCGCGGCGGCCGCCGCCCGCGGGCGCGAGTGTGCGCGGGTGTGGAAGGCCGGCGTGCGGGCCGCGAGGGGCGTGCGCGCGTGAGTCGGAGCGGGGCTCGCCCCTCGCCGGCGCCCGCCGCCCCGCCGCTGATCGCTCTCCCGCGGTCCCCGGCACCCTCGGCCCCCCACAGCCGTTGGTCCGGGCGGGGGAGGGAGAAAGTGAGACTCGGTGTCATCACCATCCATTGTCAGAAGGGGAGGAAATTGGAATCCAGCAGCGGCGAGCAGCAGCTGGGCGGTCACATCTGGGAATGCAAAGCCGACCTCCCCCTCCTCCTCCTCCTCCACCACCTCCTCCTCTTCCACCTCCTCCTCTTCTCCTACCCGGGATCACTTCCGAAACCACTTCGCCTTCAGCCCTTGCCTCGGCCAGAGGTTTCAGTTTTAGCTGAATATTTACGAAAGCTGGAAGCGTGCGAGGGGGGTGGGGTGGGGTGGAAATAGCGGCTGCTTCTTTTCCAGGGATTTATTTAATGGGGATGTGTTCAAGGCAAGAGCGAATTCAGAAGGATATCGACGTCGTGATCCAGAAGTCCAGAGCCGAGAAGGACTGCCTGTTTGCAGGTGAGTTCTCGCCTTTCCAGAACCTCGGACCCGGCGCCGGCTTCCTCTGCCCTCCCGCCGCCCCCTTTCCCAGTTTTCTGACCGCGCGACGTGTGTGGCTGGGGGTGGGCTGCTCGTCCCCATTCCAGGGTTCATTTGGCAACAGCTGCTGCAACGAGAGCAGGAGCCAACAGGGGGAGGGGGCGCCAGCCTCTCCCCTTCCCCCTCCCCCCAAGTCTGGGGCAGCCACTAGCTTTGGGGGCAGAACCCCGGTGGCCCGAGGAGGGGGTCTAGTCGGAGAGGCAGTGAGTTGCATTTCCAGCCCCCGGTAGATGCCCGAGGCGTCCAAGCCCGCCTCCCGGGTTCCAGCAGCAGCGGCCGAGTGGGGCAGGCTGGACCCGCCGGGTTTGCGCAATGGGCTGAGCGGCGGCGGCCGGGAATGGAGCCGGCTGCGCTGCGCTGCGCTAGTCTGCTGCGCCCTGCGCCCGGCGCCGAGGCCCCCCGGGGGGCAGCGCTGGGCCGGTCTCCGGCCCTGCGGATCCCTCTAGTTCCCTCCGACTGGCGAAGAGGAGGGATTCCCGGGATTCCCGAGGCACCCAGAGCCCCTGTCTGGGGGTCGCCTTTCGTCCATTTTGCTCCCCCCGGAGAGGGATTGGATTTTGCTTTCGCAGCCGCTAGCCCGGCGGGGGCCACTTCCGGCAGCCCCGAACGGGAAATTCCCGTGGTTGCCATGGCACCCGGCACTTGTTGCGGGGGGCGGCCTCCCGCGGCACCGGCCCGGGGGTGCTGTGCATCCCGACCCGCGCGGCGCGGCGCGGCGGCGAGAGGGGACCTCGCGGCTCTCCAGCCGTAGCCTCCCGCCAGGCCAGGCCTCCCCTTGGCTCCGCTAAATAGGGGGCCCAGGTCATGAGCACGGTTGACACATCCACTCAAGGGATAGCTTTTAACAGCACTTTCTGTTTCAGATTTCAGATACTCAGACTCCACCTTTACTTTTACCTACGTTGGCGGCCCCAAAAGGTATTTATGTGTATAGAGTTGCTTCATTTCCTGTTCACACGCCTGTGTTTCCTTTGTTCTTAGCGTGTTCCGCGTTCGGGTATTTTGTTTGCTTGTCTGTTTGTTTGATTCTTGTTGCGATTCGTCGACCACATCCCCAAGCCTGATGCCCCTGGGTTTTAAATTAGCACAGGGGAAATAAATGTTTGATTCAACTATTTCGAAGACCACGCCACAGGCAACTGTTCTGCTACAGTAGTAGATTGCTCTTGCGATCTTCAAATAGTCGAGTGAGTGCAAAACTGGATTACTGGGTATGAGGCGAAATGCATAAAAGGCGTAAGATGTGACAAAATAGTTTGATCAGTCACAAGTGATGATTTTCCTGGTGAGTTGGGGCTGCATGTTTCCATGTTTTCTGAAGGTTGACATAAACATGTAGCCTGCCAATTCTCCATACATTTTTTTTTTTCAAGGAGTAGTATTTTGTTTTTCACATTTATTTGTAGGAAAGAATTTGGAAAGTTATATGCAGCTGTAGTGGAGGACTTATTTCTTTTGGAGGAAGAACGACAGATGAACATTTTAATACTGAATTGTGAACAATTTGAAACATGCCCAAATTCAATTTTATATTTAGGAAGTAGACTTAAAATGAAAGGTAGCCATTAAAATATTGCCTTGTTGTCTTCTCTTGTTAAGTTAGGATTTTCTTCCTTTTAGCCTTTTAGGGACACACTAGTTTAAAAGAGCTATGGCCACAGAAGAGAACTGTGAGAGATTTAGCCTAGGGGGATTCCTGAGACCAGCCCTGCTGTTAGGACTTGACATTCAATATTATTTGACCACATTCCAAAATATCTCTTAGCTAATGGAAACATTTATGAGCATATAAATCGCAAAAGAAGCTTTTTTCTGTAAATACATTTTTAAAAACTTGAAATTAATGTGAACTTTAAAACACTTAGGATCTGTGTTGCATTCTACATCTCGAAACAACTTTAATTAAAATGAATATCAGGTTTCTGTACCTATGGTAAACTCAAACCCCAAGATTGGTATACTGATTTACTAGTTGAAAATCACCAAACTTCACTATGTAGTTTTTGGGAGAGATTAAAATTACGATGTTTCTTAATTTATTGTAACATCATCATCTGTGTAATTCTGAATAAAAACATTAGAGGACATTTGATTAAATTAACATTACTCCTACACTTAATATTCAGAGGATGTTGATAAATGACTAATCCTCTTGAATTATTTTAGGAGTTAAAATATAGTGTGTTGCCCATTGGAAAACTAGGAGTTGTCACTTTTCAGGATTGTTGCTGTTCTAGTAAGACTGTGGGCAGGAAGGCCCTGGGTGGGCTTTTCAACTAACCAGCTTTCTTGTTTTTAGTAAGAAACTTCAGTTCTTTTGGCCTCAGTTTACTTATCTGTACAGTGATGGGGTAACCCTTACACTTAATATCTAAGATCTGTTAGAGACTGCAGTTAAGATTATTTATCAGCAAATTTTTGAACCGGTGTTAACATAGCTAGAGGTGGAGAAGGCAGCAAGGCCAGAGTGTTGGGATGAATAATTAACTAGTCAAGATAACATCAGTTTTCACTGTAGGAGTAAGTACTATGGTTGTTCTTTAAAGTAAGACATGCTTCCTTTTCTATATAATCCTATTAAGGGATAGTTTTTTGTGTGTGTGTTTGTATGTTTGTGTTTGAATCACTGATTTAAATGTACCTGAATGCTTCTCAGCTCTTTGACAAAGATCAAGTGCAAATGTACCTGGGCCTTAAATATCATACATGGATCAACTTGTTAAAAAAGAAAGACAACTGGTTAAATTGCTGACCTGAGTGATTGCTTTGTCTCCTCTAAAGCTTGTTCTACAATATAATATATAAAAAGCTGTTACAGTATAGTAATAGTAATTAATCCCTTTATGGCTTGTAGTACCTAATGGTAGAGAAGACTTTTTTTTCCTGAAAATGAAGTATAGTTTGTTTGCATTACCTTTATTAGAAACCAATATTTGTCATCTATTTCTGATCCTGACACTTCAGACATTTACAATTAAAATAATCCTGTTCTATTTTTTTTCCTATTCTATTTTGATTTAATGTGCTTATCAATTTACAATATGAAGTTAATAGTGTAGACTTACTTCACCATTGAAGGAAGTGGGAGAGTGGGAGTCTTATGGAGAGATAATACATTATTATCTTAAACTGTATTTAACTATCATTTCATCTAGATCATTGAGAAAGTATTTTGAGAATAATTTTTAATTCAAGTAATAGATAAAACATACTATACCATTTCCTCTGTGACATTTTCCAAGAATGAGTTACATAGTATTCTGAAGACAGGTTGATCTTACTTGTTACTATTCAAAAAAATAGTACTGAGATTTTGTTTTACATATGCGCTTTTTAAAAAATATTTCTGTGGGTAAGAAGAAATGCTAAGAGGTGATTGTGGTCTGTACCAGCCAGTGGCCTAATAAATTGGCCTTTTATTTGGTGGTCCTCAGAGGGACAGTTAACATCTGCTCCTCTGCCTCATGGACTGAGGTGAGGAGTGAGGGGTGAGATGGTCAGCCTAAGATTGAGGTAAGCTAATTTTTCCAAGGGGAAGGTTCCTGGAATTATATCCTTGCTTTTGTTTTTTTTTTTTTTTTTTTTTGAAGAGAAAATATATTTACTGTTTATTAAATGGGAGTGGAGCATCATAAAGCTATATCCTTGCTTTTGGATGTGCAAACTGGGCTCAGAGAGTTTAGGACACAAAGTCAAATTCACTCAGTTAAATGATCAAGCTGTCATGTAAATCCTGTTACTATATCACACTCCTGAGACCTGGGTTTCCTTCCACATTAGTGTTCCTAACTCTTTGAGTATGCACACCACCAAAAAATTATGTAGATACTTACTTGAGACTTATAGTATTAATGTATGTTGATTGAAGAGTACTTAAAGAAAAATAAGATATTAATTAAATATTATGAATTTGGTTATTAATAGCATCTATATATGCTTACAAACTTGTGGTATTTATATTGTAATATTCATTCTAGCAATGTTCCTTATAATACTCCTGATTCCAGACTGCTTGGAATAACTCCACAGCCATCAGTGATTCAGAGCCTGCCCAGTGCTGTCTCCCAATTTCAGAGGTGTGCCAAGAATTATAAACTAGAAGCTTCAATTGTACACCATTTGGAAATTTATGCAGAAGTCATTTTTTCCCTACATCTTGTCATACTTATGATCGTCTGTGTCTTTCTCCCTTACTGGTTAACAGTAAACTCCTTAGACCGGAAAGATTTGGGGTTCTGGTCCTTCATCTCACTTGCAGTCAGACATGGAGTTAGTGGTAGAAAAGCAGAAGGGGTAAAGTGGGTGGTGACAGCCACTAAGGGGATAGATAAGAAAGCAGGTTACCTGTAGCCAGAGGTTACAAAAGATGAGGCGAGATCAAAGGGAGCCAAGTCCTGACCAAGACCACGACTGCTCTGAGATTCCCTGAGTGTGAGCTTTCAGCCAGGAAAGGATTGTAAAGATGTAACTCAGGTTTTAAAAATACACAAATAAGAATTGTTAATTGTAAAAAGAAATTGGAAAAAGAGATATGCCAAAAAGAAAATAAAAAACACATGATTCTTTTCACCTATTAACATATTAGAAATCATTGTTTCAGAATTTTTATGTGTTTATATGCATAAACAACAGATATGCATCCAAAGATTATGTTATACTCTTTTGAAACCTCACTTTTTTCACTTAAGAATAGAGCATCAATGTTTTTCCTTTAGAAAGCATATGAGAATAAAGAATGTGTACAAAACTGAGAGTTTTTGAATCATGGAGTATGACTCTACATGATGAGAAATCTAATACTTATATTAGAAATTATTGTAAAATTGGAAATTTAATATTTTGCAGAATGTTTGAAGTTGCCTACATATGTACACTCTTTATTGTATGAGTAGATACTCTATCCTGTGGTCATGGTAGTTTGGCATCTTTTGAAGTGTATTCTCCTTATTTAGGGGTTTCCATCCAGGTAAATAAGTATCAAATGTGACACTGATAATAGTACTCCAAAGTTCCTCAAAAGTACATGCTAGCTCTTCTTTCTCTGGGCCTTTGCACATGCTGCCTGGAACACCAACTCACATCCTACCCTGCATCATCTCCCCTGGCTCATCCCTACTCGGTTCTCATTGTTGACATCTCTGCTAAGCCAAATTCTCCTCTGACAAGACTTTCCTGGCATCTTTCCCTGAATGGTTCTGCTAGGTGTTTCTAAAAAGAAGAAAGATTTATATGACCTGAAGAGAAACTAGAGTGTTCTGCTAGGTGTTTCTAAAACAGTGCTGTCACATTATAATTGACTGTTTTATCTGTTTGACTTGGAGCCTTTTGGAGATGGGAACTCTGTCCTATTCATTGTTTTTTCCCCAGTCCCTCGCACACTGTCTGGTCCAGTATTCTTTCTCAGTAGGTAAATATTGAATGAATTACAAAATGAATGCTAAAAGATCTGGCAGATGAGAAGGAATTTCTTAACATAAATGGCCAGGTATGAAGACACTCAAGCACTTTTAAGAGTCCCCATTCTGGTTATGTCACTTTCAATGGACTTTTATATGAATCCAGAGGGACAGAAGTTGCCTAGCCAAGTTGTAAGTCCTGTTCTCTGGGTCACATGTTTAAATACTTTCAGAGATCTGACAGATAATGCAATTATTTAGGATTATAGGGAGGGATGAGGACTATGGCACACTGGAGAGTTTGGACTCTAAAAAAACTGATGCACATGAAAAACTTCACAGCACTCTGGTGATCAAGGAAACTGTCAAGGCTTCCTCATCCTTCAGGGCTCCCAATATGTAATTCCTTAACTCGTAGGGTACCATGGAGAGAGACAATCTACTTGATGGCTAAAGGGCCTTTGTTTTCTTTTGACTTCCTCAGAAAGAGGTGCATGTGTGTGCAGTGGTAGGGGAGGGAGT